ACCTGGGCTTGACGAGCCTCCCTTGGTCAGAAGAGGTCTGAGGTGGCTCTTCTGGTCATTGCAGGTCTATACGAAGCCCACGACCTAGAGGTACCCTTGCCTGGCTTCTCAATCCTGTTTTGTGTTTCTTTGCTGTAAAAGGCAAACTGACTGACACACTACGTATACACAACAAGAGGCCCCAGTGGGGTAGAAGAAAAAAACATGAGGGAGGCCATGAATTTAACTGAACAAATTCTGTGCTCACTGCACCTTCAGCCATTGCCTGGGGCAAGTCCCCCTTTTTACCCTTGAGCTCTGCAGGAGAAGAGGAGGAAGGGGAGGTGAGTAGCTCTAATGAACTTTACTCTCTGGCAGATTCCAAGTTTGTGTACTGGGACAAACTTACCTGAGATGTGGGACTAGGTAGACCCCACCCTGGGCAGAGTGGTTCTGTGGGAGAGGAGAGCGTCTCTTGCCTTGGGCAAGGTCTATCCTACGAGCTAGAGGTGTGATTCTTCTGCTCGCATACACTCATTGAGCTAGTGTGAGTATAAAGAGCAGTGTAGCTGCATTGCCATGACTTAGCCATGCCAAGTACAAACCCGCCTGAAACTGCTGGGTGTATACTTGGCATGGCTAAGCCGCGCCTCTGCTGCTGTTACCCGTGCTACCGTGGACACGCTGCTATTTGTACTTGCACTAGCCTGATGAGAGCTAGCGTGAGCATGAGTACATGAGCAGGGGAATCACCCCCCTCACCACTACTCTAGACATAGCCCTAGAGACATCTGGAATCCAGCTGTGCCTATCAGCCTCCTAGGGCAGGCACTTAAACTAGCACGTCCATCTTCTCAGGCATGAGGGGAGTTCTTGGCCTCAGCCTAGAAGAGGTGGTGGTGTGGAGGAAGAGGGGATATGTCATTTTCACATCTCCAATGTCCAGTTCCATCATGAAGATCAGAGTGTGGCATCCTGCCACCAGGTGATGACTGAGCCTAGAATGACCTAGTATAGTCTACAAGTTGCCATGGCAGCCGTGAGCTCCAGAGCAAATGCACAGAAGAGTTTGAGTTGGTGAGAACAATCAAACTCATTCAGAGCAATTTGTCTCAATTTCAAAAACAGACCTGATAAATCACCATCCGAGAGAGGAATCTCAGGGACCAGGGTGCTTACCCTGTAACTAAGACAACTCCAGTGTTTATTTCATTCTAGGACTCATATACCAAGGGAGACCACATTGAGGGTGGGGTGCCCGATACAGGTGAGGACAGACACAGTGTGCATGGTCACACCCACTCCGAACTGGTTCTACTACCTCTCTGGAAAAAGGCTCAAAGACAAAGCAGGGCCAGAAGCATGAACCAAAGAAGTTCAAATAAGGTCAGGTGTCTCAGCCACCATTAAATTGAGGATGGTGGTGGATTTACAACAACCAACTGTATGCTAATACCATGAGCTGCAGGTATGAGTCTTATTCCCATTGTCCCAGAATTATGATCATAAATGAGACCCGGGGATTCCACCTGGACTACGGCTGATGACTGGATATCTCAAGCTGCTATTTCCCAGTACTTTGAATATTTCTATCTTGCTAGTTTGTCTACTCCCTGCAATGGGAAGTGCTACTTCATCACTGTGGCTATGCGTCATGCAGCCCCCCAAAGCATGTAATCCCCAACACGGGACATCAAGTATCAAACCTTAAGCCTCTTCCACAGAAACGATGAAGATGACAAAAGATAGAAGGAAGGGACAGCATAACGGAAAGGGAGGGATAGCTCAGTGGTTTGAGCATTGGCTTGTTAAACCCAGGGTTGTGAGTTCAATCCTTGAGGGGGGCCCCTTGGGGATTTGGGGCAAAATCAGTACTTGGTCCTGCTAGTGAAGGCAGGGGGCTGGACTCAATGACCTTTTAAGGTCCCTTCCAGTTCTAGGAGATGGGATATCTCCATTAATTAATTTTTTTTTTAAATAAGGCATATCTATCACTGAAGTACCACAACACCTCACAATCTGTAATAGATTTATCCTACATCACCTCTGTGAGGTTGGAAAGTTCTGTCATCTCAGGGTACAGAAAAGCATACAGAGATTTGCTCACGGCCACACAGGAAGTCTGTGACAAAGGAGGGAACTGAATTATTTTGGGGAAGCTTGATGGCCTGTGATATGCAGGAGGCCAGATTAGAGGATCACAATGGTCCCCTCTGGCCTTGGAATCTGTGAATTATGGTTCCAGAGTCCCAGAGTAGCATCCTAATCACAGCACCATCCTTTCCCTCATGAGTTTACTTGACTCTGCAGTGGATACACCACATTAGAGATACGTCTTCCATTTGTGCTTTGTTTACTTTTCAATAATTAGTTTGGTGCAAGTGTGCGGCTTGGACATACAACACTGGGATTTGAAGAGGAGGATATTGTGTGGCCTGTAGGACCAAGGAGGTTGTTCCAGGCACAGAGAAGAGTAAGGGAAGGTGGAAGTGCTCATGGCAGATGGAGGCAAGTGGAGTTGGTAGAGTGCAGGTCCTGGGCCAGGAAGCAGCAAGTGATGGGAGAAGAGAGGCAGGCAGGGGCAGAGCTGGGTTGAGTGCAAGGAGTTTGAATCTGAGACTGGTAGAGCCAATGAAGGGACCTGAAAAAGGAAGGGGGCAGATGACACGTTCAGAGGGGCAGGACAAGAAGAGGAGTTCAGCGACAGCATTTGGAAGAGAAATAGGAACAGGATCAGCCCAGGAACCCAGCTCCAACCAGACTCGGACCAGCTGCTTCACAGGAAAGTGCAAAAACCACGTAGGAAATAACCTGACGAGTGGGGCTGCTTTTCCCCCAACCCAGTCAGCTAGCAGCTGCGGCCTGCCTTCAAGCATGGGGGCTTATAACCCGTCTGGTTTTTTCCCTCTAATTCGCGTAGCTGGTGATGTTTTCACTATTCATCTAACTGCCGAGCACTGGTTTAGATGGCAAAGTCCCCGAGGTAGGGCCCACCTGTTCCTATATGTCTGCCCAGCACCCGGCCCAAGGACGTGCCAAATCAATAATAAAGTTATGGCTGCTGTGGGATGAACAGACACCAGTGCCTGGCCTGTGCGTGCCGTTACTCCGGGAGCGGGAAACGCCCTTTCAGCTCATTGTGATAACAGTGGGCACAGAAAGGGATGGGGGTTTGTCTGTTTTCTACGGCCACATAAACAGGTGGGAGAGGTGAGCGGGTTATCCAGAAAGATGGAGGCTGCGGCCCAGGCTGGGTGTCACCAGGGCATGGGCAAGGCTTCTGGAAGTGGGAAAGGAGGATGGGCGGATTGGGGCATGCTACAGAGGAAGAAGCAGGGTTCGGCAGTAGCTTTAAGCAGGGGAAGGTAAAGGGGAGAAAGGGGTCAAGGATGACTCCTGGATTAACAGTTTGTGACCATGGGAGGGTGATGGGTTCCCAAGTGAGCCACATTCACCCCTCACTAATCAGAGACCTTCACCCCTACAAAGCCTGCCCTCAAAGCTACCTTCAGCCCCATGACGGTCCAGAGCCATATGCTTCCCCATGGCCTCTGATAGCAGGTTTGTGGCCCCCAGAGTCATACAGACACTAAGCCATATTTATACCAAAAATCCCACGAAGACTCATTTGGCTGCAGAGCCCCACAGCCAAAAGCCCATTGTCTAATCTGCCTGGAGTCTCTTCGCCAGCTATGAGGAGACACAAGAAAATACAGAGCATACAAACTTGAGGAGAGGAAACAGAGAAAGCCTGAGAGAATCGGATAGAATCTGGTCATTACGGGAGTAACCCCACACCATGACAACCGAACCCATGAGAAAGGGAGATGCCATGCTGAGGGCTGGGAAGTTTCATTACACAATTTGCAGACTAACAGATGTGAGTAGGACACACACACACACGAGTACAAATGTACATGTACTGACAGACACACCCACTTGCACACAAAACCCTTCTGTGACACATGCAGAAAAAGGCAATCAATGACTGCTATGAGGAAATCACTTGTGGGGCTCAAACCCAAATCAAAAGGGTCTCCACCCACAGCAAGGGCTCGAAAAGGAGCAGATCTCCTACGCAAAGCTGGCAGCCACTCTCCAAGCCTTCCCTATAGGTGCCATGTCTCCTGTGCAGCAGGAGGGGACACAGACAGACATCACTGTGGCTATGTTCTCCCATACTGATCTGATCCCTCAGTACACTTCAGTGCTGGGTCTGCCCCAGTCTTCAACCTGAGATCGCTGGAAGAATGACCCTCTAGCCTAGGAGTCCCCTGCCTTCCACATGCTCCCAGCTCAGGGCTAACGCTGGTTATTCAATGCCAAGAGATGAGCTCAATCACACTCCGTCCCAGAGGGATTCTTTCTGGTAACAATTCCTAGTCATATGAACCACAATAGCTACAGCGTGGGCCAGATGCACTGGCAGCGTGAGCCGAGGAATTCCCCAAGACAGTGTGTGGGGATTGGAAATGTCCCCTTGATGCCAGCAGGGGAGACCCTGATCAGGCAGGGCTGGAGGTGTGGTGACAGCACAGTGCCACAAGTAGCCGCCTCAGAACAGAGGCACCACCAGCGCGATCCTTCTCCCCAGCCTGGAGTTATGCCCCAACACAGCCAGGGATTGTAGTAACCGGGCTCCAAATTCACAGTCAACATGGGGGCCTGGGGCTCCCAGTCTGAATCACGCATGCACAGAGCACGGGGCATGCACCCTGTCCACATGCACTAGGCTGGAGGTGAAACGCCTCGGCGTGTAGAGCTCTATGCACAGCACAGAGTCTATCAGAGAACTACAGGCAGTGTGCAAATACCAGGTATGGACAATGTACAGCACTAGAGTTAAACTCTAATGTGCCTGGGCATGAGGCAAGGGGCAGGAGAGTCCCTGGAGAGCCCTGCTGTACAGGGGCCCACGGCTGGCAATGTGTAACACCAGTGCGGCCAGCCAGAGCAGGGCCCTGTGGACATGGACCTTCCCCTCCCAGCCCCAGCCCCGAGTGAAATAAACCAGCCCTTACCTTTGGCCCCTCGCAACACAAACCCGAATCCCTCATGCTCCCTCTTCTGCAGCACGGCCGTCTTCTCCTCGATGATGTAGTCACTGGGCAGGAAAGAGCACAAGAGAATGATGCTAGGGTTAGATTTCAGCACCATGCTGCCAGGCGCAGGTGGCCTCTCTGCCTTTCACACGGAGACCTCTTCGGAGCAACCATCGCTCTCAGCACGGAGCTGGGCACAATCTCTCTCCCTCCCTCCCTTGCCCACTGTCAGAACAAAAAGGCGAATGCTCCTTTCCCTCCCTGTGTGGGTAGGGGTCAGCCCTGGCCGTCTGGCTCTCCCTTCTGCCCACGGATCCCCCTCTCAGTCACCTGCATGTGTATGCAGAGAGCTTACTGATCCCACACTGGGCTTCCCTTTACATGATGCCCTTAGCATATAACTGAAGAGTGGGGCGCCTGAGCAGAGGAGTTGCAGGGGGAGGCAGCCAGCCAGCCATCAGGGAGGATTCTCGCTGAGACTTTCCTGCTGGCTCTTGGGGGGCAAAAATCAGGAGCCTGACAAAAGGGAAGGTGGCTCTTTAGTAAGTTTCCTGGGAGAGAGAATGACAGAGTTTATCTCCTCATCCTGACGCTCTGATCTTCTGTTAAAATCCCCCCCACCCCCGTTGCTAAGTAACGGGCTGTCATTAGGGAAAAAAGGGGGGTGTTCATTTCATTGTCCTAGTCTAACAAAGCTGCTCTCTCTGTCCTCAATGGCAGCTAGATGAGAAGAATGAAAAAATATCCAGTGGTAAGGAGAGGGAATCAAATGGAAAGCTCTGAACCGACCCCAAGCCTTAGCGACCCTTTCAACAGAAAAATGTCTACACGTTTTCAGAGAGCTGGGGCGGGGAGGGGGGATAGAAAGGGGAAGGGGGGAGGGAAGAGACACAGAAAGATTCTCTCAGCGAACGAGAGCTTAAATGCAGCTCTGTAAATCCCTCCCAGCAGAGCCGCATGTCTGACATCAGAGTGGAATTAATCAGAGATCTCGGTGCTTTTCAGCAGCAAACCGGAAAGAGCAAGGCACAGCAAGAGGGCAGGGAATGTGCCAGCCCCAAATCCACAACTACATGTGTGTAGCCATTCAGGCTGATACACCCCGAGTGCAGCAACAGAGAAACAAAGAGCCAAAGCATCCCGGCACTGCCTGGAGAAGTAAAGCCTCCAGGGACATGTCTGCATGGCTCCCGTGCACCAAAGGGAAAAGGGAGCACTACAGACAGACACCTATGCAAGACAGACAGAGCGTACACGCGCACACACACACACTGCAGTAGAAACTCCCTCCCTCAACACACCCAGATGCATGCACTGCATACAGAGACACACACCCCTGCACATACACATGGACCACAGCTCATACACACTGTCATGTCCAAAGTGCTGGATCGGTGTGCTGCTGCCCTCTACTGCCTGGAATGAGTATCACAGCTGATCCAGGATTTCTCAGTTCGCTGATTGAGCGTGTGAAATTGCTCCGTTGTAGCTAGGTTCATATACCACCGCCATCACAGCAGTAGCTGTGTGCCAGATTCAGAGTAAGGAGAGAGCTGTATTTCTGGACTGAAAAGGGGGGTGGATTCCAAGTGCTATACTTCAAGGGGCATGCAGTGGGCACTCAGCATTAGCATCTGCCCAGCCACAACCCATTGCAGACCAGACTTTGCATTAGTAGGTGGCCCTTTATATTCTGCATTGAGTGTAGCCAAACCCGCCAGCAGCTTGGGTGTGCTCGTAGACACCCCTTAATGAAGGAGACACAGCTTTAGGTTCCTGCTAGAACCGCCAGATACTAATAAATACAATCACTAACAATAATACTCTGGCTCTTACATAGGTACGGGGTGGCTCCAGGCACCAGCGCACCAAGCGTGTGCCTGGGGTGGCAAGCCGCGGAAGGTGGTGTGTTGGTCGCCGTGAGGGCGGCAGTCAGGCTGCCTTCGGTGGCATGCCTGCGGGAGGTCCGCCGGTCCCACAGTTTCAGCGGCAATTCGGCGGCGGGTACGCTGAAGGCACGGGACCGGCAGACCTCCCGCAGGCATGCCGCCGAATCCGCGTTACCAGCGGACCTCCCGCAGGAACGTCGCTGAATCCGTGTTACCAGCGGACCTCCCACAGGCATGCCGCTGAATCGCGTTACCAGAGGACCTCCCGCAGGCATGCCGCTGAATCGCGTTACCAGAGGACCTCCCGCAGGCATGCCGCCAAATCTGCGTTACCAGCGGACCTCCCGCAGGAACGTCGCTGAATCCGCGTTACCAGCGGACCTCCTGCAGGCATGCCGCCAAATCTGCGTTACCAGCGGACCTCCCACAGGCATGCCGCTGAATCGCATTACCAGAGGACCTCCCGCAGGCATGCCACTGAATCGCGTTACCAGCGGACCTCCTGCAGGCATGCCGCCGAAAGCCTCCTGACTGCCGTGCTTGGGGTGGCAAAATACATAGAGCCGCCCCTGCATAGGTAAATACATAGAGATGCATAAACGCCTCTGTTTCCCAAACCACAGGAGGGATAAGCACTGAAGAAAAGCAAGTGACGAATGTGGGGAAGGAATCTGCTGTTTTCACTGCCAGTTGTTTGGGAAGAGCTACAGAACCTACTTGAGGCTCCAATACAGAGCTGATCAGACCTGATTACACAGGCACCTTCTGGCTCGTTAGGTTCAGCTCATTGTCCTGGATCGTAGTTTCTTATCTGGGCAATTTGGCTCCATCTGCATTTGGATACCATGATGCTGAGTAGAGCCCTGCACAGATACAAAACTGTATCCGCTTCTGATCCGCAATCTGGATACATGGTCAGCGGGTCTCTGCGGATTCGCAGGGCTCGAATGCTAAGAACAATGTAAATACAGATCGGGTCTGATTTACACCTCGTGGAACCTTTTGACTATTCTGATGTGATACAACTTTGGATGCATCACTAAAGAGTTTCTCATCTACAAGGGCTGAACTATAAACACAAACTGTCAGCCAGGAGGAGGTGCCAGAAGTTTGTTTTTAATCCATCTGCGAGTGTCCAGGATGTGGACAAACATAACCAAAGGCTGAGAAGAAGTTTTCTACAGAGGAACTAGATCCTATTCATTTCTCCTGGGAGACCCAGGAGTGCTCACAGTGTGCTGAGCACGGACACCTTCGCGGGGTGGAATGATGATGCAGCTACACGAGCCGTGGAAATGTCCTCACTGTCAGAAGGAACTATCAAAAAGAAAAGGGCTTGACAAGCGTATTTTTCAATCCTCTCTGCTAACTGAGTCAGTGGAGCAGCTGTCTCCGCTCGCTGGAGAAACACTTGGCTTTCTGAAGCAGAAGTCCACACATTTGATTCCCATGCTGCCTGTATGTAGTTAGCTGGAGATTGCAGTATGTGTGTGTAGGTCTGTGGCCATGGATTGCTACACACACACACGCACTATAAGTAATTTATGCCAGGGAAATGCATGCACTGCAGCTCCGTGGCATGTGACATGCTATAAAGACCCCCCAGGCATTCCGTATGATTTATTAGTAGGGGCAGTACCACTACTTATTAGTGTGTGTATTACTGTAGCCCCAGGCGCCCCCGTCATGGACCCGCACTCCCACGCTAGGTTACACCTGAAGATGACAGATACCAGCTGGCCACAGACTGGTGGAGGAGCACAAGGAGACGCTGTTGGCAGTATGGCAGGCAGTGGCCTAACCGCTGTCCAATTTTTGTAGGCACCCTGGCAAAGGAGAGTAGTGAGGAGGGTTTGGAAGGTGCATGATGAGGCGGCTTTGCAGAAGTTTATGGGGAGCACCCCCCAGGCACAAGGGGCAGCAGGGAGAAAACAGGCCACAGATTTTACAGACCAACAATTTTTCGGGTTTTTTATCCCTGCATTTGTAAGTTAAGGTGCTGTACTTATGAGTCCAGGGGTGCAGGCCTCAGCTGGAGGAACACATGACTAATAACATTACGAGTTATAATACAGTAGTGCCCGAACATGCTGCCCACGGCACATACACACAAGACACAGTTCCTACCCCGAGGGCAGATGTGGGAACCAATGAGAGCCGCAGCGAATGAGGATCACAAACAAATCCATCTAGGGCACTGATTCGACCCCCATTCCTGTAATGCCTGAGAACTCCCCACGCTTTAATGTATTTATCCTCACAACCCTCTGTGAGGCAGGGCAGTGCTGTTATCCCTGGAGCAGAGCGCAGGTATGGGGACTTAGAAGTTGCAAGGCCTGACTCTGCCGTGCTCTTCCGGCCAGTGGAATTCACAGCCCCGAGCTAGGCGCCGGGGCTCCCCACACACGGCACGGGGAGCGTTAGGTACCTAAGAAAGAGACTCAGAAGCCAGTAAGCTGAGCGGGGAGGCACCCAAGCCATCCGGGGGTGAAATGCAGAAGAAAGGCATGGGGCTGAGAGCCCAGATCCACAAAGGTACAGAACTCCCAGGGATCTGGGCCGGCTGGAGGGAGGCACGATCCCCACCCCTCTCCTGAGTTAGGCACCTAGGTCAGGGCAGCCTGTCACAGGAAAAATGAGAGAAAGACCTGCCCCATTACAGCCCATAGTTCCGTGGCCGGGCTCTCCCGTTTTCAAATCCTCGCTCTGCCTCATTTGGAGCAGAGACTTAAGCCCAGGCCTCCCCCATTCGAAGCGAGTGCCTGAACCCCCAGGCGGGGGGGGGGGGGGGAGGGGTGTCTGAGTTTTGCCCATGGAAGCTGTTCCAGTGTGTAAATAATTAAACAGAGGGCAGATCTGAACACTGGTTTCCCATGTCCCAGGTGAATGCCCTAATCACTGGGTTATTGCGGATTCTAGAGGACACACAAGGAGCTGGTCCCCACTATTCCTGACCGGCTTGCCCCAGTGATCTCTGGGGTGGGTTAGACCTGCACTGAGCACACCGACTGGATCAGTCCCCTCAGGCAATACGGGTGGATGCCTAGCTTGAGTATCATGCCAGGGCATTTGGGTGTTCTGGGGGCTCCAAGGGTGCTGCTGCTGCTGCTGTGGAGGGGGGACTCTGGGGCACCCACTGGTGCTGTGGGGGGCTCTGGGGTGCACCCTGGTGC